CTTGCATGTTGTATCCGAGCCTGTTACTGCATTGCTCGTCCGTCTCACGATACGATGCGTGAGGCGCCTTACTGACGGCAGGTTTCTTGTTTTCAATCGTTTGCTTTACTTTGCGATATTTCTGCTAGCATTTGACTTGAACATGGACTGTGTGGGAGGAGAGTGGGCTACAACAGTACATACCAGCATCGTGATCCGGTTTGGCCCGATGTGAAAAGTTCACAATAAATGGTACTATTGGTATGTGTTCCGTTTCGGTTGCATTTGCCCTTCTCGAGGTTGATAAATTACTTTTAGATATCTCAATGCTTTGCTTATAGCCAAAAAAGGTTACGAACTGTTTCTGCTGGCACAATCACTTCAAGGTCATCTGGTATCTCGCACACGGGTATCTGTCGGAGACGTTTTATAATTAACCCAGAGCAAATTCCCCGCGCTTCACTAGTCGCAGTCCCCCGTAGATCATCATTTGTGTATATACAAGGGATTATATTCTTGTCTCAAGTCCCACCCCACTGTCCCTGGGTTCCATAACTCAGCAAACAACCGGCCCCACCTCGGCTGACCAGTAGCTGTCCATAACTCAGTCGGCATGTGCACATGACACGTCCGCCTGAGCATAACTCGCAAAACCTCTCATGACCAGCTCATCCATCGCATTCACAACATCCACGCACCATGAAGCATCACTCCTCCAAGGGAGCTCCACGGCTCGTCCATCGCTGCTCCCTCCCCCACCCCCCTTTCTCTCATCCGACCGAGCCTGACCCGTCCCGCCCGTCTCACCGAGCCCGACGTGTTAGCCGCCGGCACCAAACGCCGCCGACCAATCAGCGTGCTCCGCTGATCGGCCCGATAAGCGTGTACGTGAAGGATTCCCCTGCAGCCCGATTTATCGCCCGGCCGCGCACAGGCGCCGGCGATAATTTGCCGGCTCGTGCGGGAACACGACGCCGCGTGGGCCTGTCTTCTGCAGGCGCCAAACGGGCTCAGGTGCTACAGCAGGCCCGGTCCGGCCCCGGGCCAACGAAACCCGCCCGCACTCGGAGGGGAGCGGCCCGGTAGTGGGAGCGGGGGGGGGGGGGGGAGCTGACAGTACCATGGGTCGCGCGACGCCGTCTGGTCCTCGCGGACTCCGAGCGGACCCCGACACGACAGTCCCCCCCCCCCCCCTCCCTTCCCGGTCCTCCGACCCGGGCCTGGCTCGAAGGACGGTTGGAGTCGGCGCCGCTCAGCCAGCTGAGCCTGACGTCACCTGCCCCGCCCCGCCCCTCACCTTCACGGCCGCCGGCGGTGGACCCGTGATGACGTCACCAGGGTCGGGCCGCCGTCTCGGCGGGCCCAGACCCGCCGGCCGGCCGTCGGGACGCGGCGGCCGTGCTGACATCACAGCATCTAAAAATATACGGCGGCGCCGCCTGCATAACGGGTATATCTCCGAAGGGACGTGTGCACGCGGCGTGGCTGCACCGTGCAGAAGGCCGGCCGCGGCGGCGCGCCCGCCCGCGTGCAATTCCCCGACCGCACGCGTCCTCCCCGAGCCTTTAATGGGTGTCACCTTCACTCCTTCGGTAGGGATAATCCCCTCATCGAACGCCTTCCGAGAGGGTTTTTTCGTTAACACGGATATAGTTGAGGTGTGCTCCATTGCTTCGTTTCGCGTCCTTCCCTTGACAGGCGCTCGCTCTCTACGCTGCAGAAGTTCAGCCATGTTTTGGCTTCAACACGGACCCACTGGAAGATCAGCGAGCGGCGGCGGCAGTTACAATAAGGCCGTGACGCTGCAGTAGCAATTGCTGTAACGCGTAACGCTGGTCTTAAGTGTCTCGGGGCGCGCCGGCTGTATGGTCATGTTGCACTCTCTCCAGACCATGGCGCTGTGTGTCATGTGTCAGTGTGGCCGGCCACACAGTGTCAGGCCATACAGTGTGTCAGGCTATAATGCTACGGACGAACGAGTTGGGCAAAAGTGTCCCCTGGTCAGTATTTCTCGGGGATACGATAATGTCATAGGCATCACCTTTGTCGGCTCGTAGGGGAAACATAGAATTAGAAAACGTTCGGCAGACCCAGTATATTCAAGGCGTTTGGTAGACCCATAACGTAAAAGCGAGAAGGTTCTCCATTCATTGAACTGTGAAATAACAGCTAAATGCTACATACGTCTGGGCTTCTTGATTTTTATCTAAATCAGACTACAAAGTGATTCCGCTAGTTCTCACGCACAAGCGATCACAAATGAGTTCGTATGCAACAAAAACCCGGTCTTATAATGTCTATTTCGAGCTCCTCGACAGTAGCATCGATAAGCTGGCCAGCAGTTATATAACTGACCTCCAGAAAAGGGCTATCGGATTTAATCTCCCAATTATCACCTGTACATCTGTCAAGACATTGCTGACACTGCACGCACTGGCACGCTTATTAGTGGATTACATGCCAAAAGGCGGGGAAGGCCTTGGTTCACACCTCCTGACATTCAGCCGCATATTCACACTGTCAGATGGCATCTCAGCCTGCCGAGTATGCACCCATACATATGTAAATCTGATGCAAATGCACGCCTGTTAACACTTTCAGTCAGGAAAGCTATCCATAGATTCCGACTGATCTCACCGAACCCGGGACCGAGGCATATGTAATTTTGCAGCGCGGAGATTCTACTACGGGGGAATGACGACGCCAAAGCTAAGTCCCCTATATATATGTGGGTTGTAAAGGCAAGCCAACCCAGCTGTGCATTTTATTTGCAAATTCCATGCAACCATTGTTGACAGAGAAGACACTCATGGGACATGTGTTCGCCCCCAGAGACAGACCGCAACCAGCACCTGCTCGCGGTCAAACTTACAAACCTACCTCGATTGCATAAGCTGTCCCCTGCCTATCCTCTCCGTCATTGGTTAGTCCGCTTCTGACAGGCCGAAGACCAGACCAATCCACGCCAACCCGCCTCGTGTTCGTTTCGCCCCGCCCCCGGCGACCGCCGCCTGCGCCCCCCCCCCCCCCCCCCTCCCGTCACTGAGCCCCGTCGGCGGCGCGGGCGGGTCCTGCGGCCTTCTCGGCCGCGCGGGACCGGTCCTGCGACGTTCGGCGCTACTGGACCGCGTCTTGCGGTGCGCCGTGCCGGGCGCCGCTCGTCGTTCGACGAACATGGTGATGTCAGCGAACGCACGCGACGGCGTCCCGCCGCCGCCCGCCGCCGGCCGGCCCGGGCCAGAGGCGCCGGCTCGGTGCAACGCCCCCGCAAGCGGCGGGGAGGTACGGTTCCGGCCCGGTTAAAAGCGGTGCTGTGTTGCATGGAAGCTGAGCGAAATGCTCCAGGGAAGCGGAGGGGAAGACCTGCAATTACTGGGGTTTCTCAAAGATGATGTGGTGTCCGCGCTAGACATGAAGAATGATGGCCTCATACTCGGCTCATGCCATGGTCAATGTCACGCATTTCCAAGGTGGCGTGCGCCAGAGAGCGTAAACCACGAAGTCATCCCCTGCCATATCCTGTCTGGCAGCCTGTCAAAGCGAATAACAAGCTCTCAAGGAAGGAGGGCGATTCTGGGTACCGGGATCAGTTGTAATTCATGGGTCTTTAGATGGTTGCCAAAAAGCTAGACTCCAACTCATCGGCCTGGCAGGCGGCAACACGAATGACAGCGGACTTCTCAGCCCGGTACCGCCTGAGACATTCTGCCACGCTCGGCCGCTTGGGGGGAGGGCGGGGACAGTAGAGCTTTCCACTGATATAGTAAAGGATGAAAGCGTCGGATTGATAAAAATTCCAGCAGCCACTGATAGCCTTGGTTAACCTCATCCAAGAATCACTGGGCGTATATGTCACGTCAATGATATCACACGCTGCGAATGGGGCTTATTTTAAAGGCACTTTGTTCCAAACGTCCTTGATAAGAGCCCTCCCTCCCTCATTATGCGATATAAGTCAACTTTGTACTTGACCCCAAACGAAGGGGTTTTCGCTTCGGAATTATACCATCATTACTAAAGGACACGGGCCAATGTCGCGTCATGCCAAGGTCAGAGATCAAGTGACTGGCCGGTACGAGATCAAGTGACAGTTCTATTTTGTCCGCTTGTTCCGTCCATGACTTGTGTAAATTAACTTTGATTACTTAACAACATGTAGAATAATTCCGTTATGACATAGTATACTAAACTAAATGTGTACTTCAGAACTCATTGGTGTGAAAATGTGTCATTTGCACCAAATTGCACAAATGAGCGCCACAAGTCACGCTGGTTCCAGGCGGCGTCGTGTCGCGTCATGAGTGAGGACAGTGAAAAATGACCCAAGCCGCCCCCCAAATATACCAACAAACAGGGTAGGTTGGCCTCACGTGACGGCTGGGGATGATCTGTGATCTCTGGTGATCTGTGTGATCCCATAAGGCGTGACGAACCGGAATGGTACTGACAGTGAAACCAGCAGAAAAATTACATAAAGACTGTCAGAAAACAGCGAAGGGAAATACAAATTGAAGCACGCGGATCCAGAATCGGCGAGCAAGCCGCCGCTAATCATGTCCCAACTGAGTGACCTAACCTATCCACGATCTCACATTTTGTGTGCCTTCTGAACGTATGGAAGTGATCACTCGTCAAATACTGTGCCTTTTTGGACCTGACCAGCATAGTTCGGAAGTTACTCCCGGAAATAGGAGGGTGGCTCACCTTTAACCTCCAGGTGCTCGCCGGTCAATGCTCTGGTCAACTGCGCCACAAGAGATTCGCCAGTGCGCTTGATATGAGGTAGTCAACAACGTCTATATAGCAAACGCGCACAGGTGTAGAAAACGTCCCAAGCTTATCCGCAACTATCTAAAGCAGTTTCACAATTAAATCACTATTTGTTGCCGTAAGTAGTAGCATGGAAGCTGGAAACTGACACCAAGCTGCAGCGACCTGCAACGAAATTGGCCGTGGATCCACTGAACTAAAACTTCCAGACATCAATCGTGCGCCAGCTCAGTTCATGTTGAAGTACTCACTGAGCGTTCTTCTAATCAAGCCGAATGGTCATGCTGCACGCACCAGGGTATCACTTGACCTGGAACAGACAGACAGTGTTACACTAGCGGCATAATCAGCAACAGCACGCAACCGGCGCGTTGCTGGAATCTCAACTGCCAGGTAACGACGAGGCAGTCGGCTGTTAAACGAGCGCCGCTGCCTCCCCGGGCGCCGCCGCCGAGACCGCAGGCCGGTGATCCATCTGCCCGGCGGTGGAGATGCGAGACCAGTGACCGGACCGGCAGTGGAGATGCGAGACCAGTGACCGGACCGGCAGTGGAGATGCGAGACCAGTGACCGGACCGGCAGTGGAGATGCGAGACCAGTGACCGGACCGGCAGCGGAGATGCGAGACCAGTGACCGGAGCGACGATGGAGATGCGGGACCAGTGACCGGACCTGCGGTGGGTATGTGGGACCAGCGACCGACGCATCAAGCTGGTTACGGCCGAGAGAAAAGAGAGAGCTGGGCATGTGAAGGCCGCAAGCTGGGCGCCCGACACTTTTCTTCAATGCATCTTGATGAGGCGACACGCTTTGACGCTTTCGAGAGCACCTCGCCAGACATTTATCAAAGTCCGGTGATCAGACAGCGCTCGTTGAACGCCAAAACACACCGTCGTTTGCGCGATGCCAAACCGCTCACCATTCCGTCTCCCGAAGCGGCCACATCCGCCCGGGAGCCGGCATCCGCCCGGGAGCCGGAGCCGATGCCGTGCGGAGCCCGGCCGCTCCCATCGGCCGCACCGGCCGCGTCGGTCGCGCGTAGCCTCTCGTTCACGCGATACTCCATTTCCCACGCTCCGCCCGTCGGAGGGCGGCTTCGCCTGGGCGTCGCCAGCTCGCCGCTCGCGGAGGTCTGCAGCGGAGAGCGGGCGCCACTCAGCACCCATGACCCCGGCCGCCGAGAGCTCGTCGGAGCCGGTCTCTCGTTGGAAGCACGCGTTCTGCGCCTGGGGCGACGCCCAGCGCCAGATCACGACCTGATGATTGCGGCGAGTTTGCAAGTTCCGGATGTCACGGAGACAGGGAGGCGCGCGTGGGCTGCGGTTGCGTGTGGGCCTGCGAGGGGATTGTGCTGGTAAAAATGGGGCCGGGTCGTGGGTTTAATTTGCATGCAGGCAGCAAAGGCCTTCACGAATTATCTGTTCTGCCCTCCCACGTCCGGTGTGCTTAGTCTCAGGCTGTATGACAATACTCGTCGATTTATTTTTTAAGGTGATAAACCCAGATGAATTTCAAAGTCGTGTTCCAGCAAAACAGAAATCGTAACTATCCACCGTGCGAACAAAACATTGCTTTGGTATTGGCCCAGGAAATATTTTCGCAGGACGATACACAACGGCCGGAGTTATGTGAGTGAATATATCTCATTCACCTAACATTTATTTTGATAAGCATCTTGGTCAACTCATACAGCCGCTTCTGTTGGAAATTGTCGAAGACGACTCGCGAATGTATTCAAATTTGCAGTCCATGCACACGTTTCACAGCTTTGCACGCGCGTCCTTTCTGATCAACTAGAAAAGCCTAAGTCTTGAATACCGGATATGCAAGATGACCTGGGCTGACCCGCCACCAGTCAGCCGTATGAACCCCTTTCTCCAACTGCTATGTCGACCGAGCGTCTCTTCTTTGTTAAAATGGGTATCCACATTTGAATGGTATTTTAAATTGAAATAGCCATCTTTGAAGACCTTTCGGCCCTGTTCACCATCCTGCCCTCCCTAAGTCCTAAGTTTTAAGTTTCTGAGCTACATGCCTGCGAAAATTAGGAGAGGTATTTTAAATGGGGTGAAATGGGGTTAAATGGGGTGAATATTTTAAAGTCACCTTGGCATTCATGACGTCATAATAAGGTCATTCAAATCATGCTATTCCATAAGCCATGCGGCAATCGAGGCCGATAAAAATATCCATGCCGAAGCGTTCATATATGGCGTTGGTGAACGCGATTTCCAGATATAACAGCCAATTGGCTCTCAATCAGTGTTATACAAGGTACGATGACGTAATCAAACCATGACGCATTCATGACACACTTGAAAGGTATACCAATAATCATACGTGAGCTTGTTTCAACATATCGGATGCTTTCTTCGGTATCATCAAATGTGAAGCATTCTCTTTAACGTTAACTTTTCATTTTTTTTAGGACTGGCACATGGACGGTGAGTGGCATGGTGGGTGGGTTTGCGCCAAGTGTTGTTTTTCAACTTGCCTGTCTGTTCTGAATCTATGCGATACTTGGATTAGTATCCCCTGTTCTTCTGAAATGTTTGTGCTGTTTAACGCACAGGCCCATTCACACATGCCGTTTCTTTGCTTGCATGTTGAGCGCAAACTATCATCGTGTTCTCCTTTGTGCCGACGTGCTGTAACATACCCGAGATAAGCGCCATACGCTTGAGCAGACTGCAGACGAAGGTCAGATGTACGCTCCAAGCTGCGCTGGCCTAGGCTGCTTATATGACCATTGTTGGTCCGTTTGCGTACGGAGTACTCAGTTGGCAAGGGAAAACACAGTGTTTTTATAGGCTCAAGGTGCATATTGTTGTTTGCAATGCGCATCTGAATTCCATCAATATTGGCGTTAACCTTAAAGGGCATCACTAACCTTAGCCTGAACTTCGCTTACCATACACCTGCCTAACCAAGGTAACCAAGACACATTAATTTCCACCGAGACAAGCCGCGCCGTAATGGTCTTCTCCTAACCCGCGACCCGTGCCGTATCACCTCCGTAGCGGGCATTGGTCACCCCTGGCGACCCCCATGGACCGCCTAGCCAGCTCGCAAGTCACCAGCCCCCCCCCCCCCCCTCCGTGGCCCTCGGCTGCACCTCCGTCCGCCGGCTGACCGCGCGTGGCGTGGTGACGCCAGAGGCCCACGTAACCCGGCTCTGTTGTGTTTATTGCAACTGTGTCCGGCGGGTAGGGAGCGAGCGACGGGAGGGATGAAGCGACGCGCAGTAGTTCGTCGAAGGGGCACCGCGCCCCCTCCCCCGCCTGTGACAAGCTGCGCAGCTCCGGCCACCGCCGCGCTGACTGGGTGCGCTGCGACTCCGCGCGGAGGTCGTGACCCCGCGGCCGGGTCCGGGGAGCTCGGTCCGCGCACTGGCGCTAGCGCTGTCGAGCCAACTGTTTACCGGCCCGTACCAATCGACTCGAGGCTGGGATGTAGGCTGAGCTGATGCGGTCTCAAAGGAGGAAGTGAATTATTCGTTAATGCACGCGCTGCGAACTGACCCCGACTTGAGGCACGGCGGGCGACGGTCACAGCGCAACAACTGCGGGCATTTTCTGTCAGCAACATGTCGACAATCGCTGCTGAACACCACGCCTGACGTGTTGTTCTCCAGCGCTGGATCGCAGCGGCCAGCGCCGGCGCCGGCGGCTCTGAGTGTGACTCCCCGGCCAGTCTCGCAGCTCGGCCACTTCAAACCGGCCGGCGGCCGACGGACGGCGGCGGCTGTCGGCGCCGATGCGGGCCCGGCCAGACGGATCTGAGCGCGGTGCGCGCCGGCGGCGGCGCTGGCGCCGCCCCCAGCCGCCGCCCCCGCACCCCAACTTATTTATCATAACACGGCGTGGGATCAAATGCGTCGGTCGGCGGCAATGCGCCGCGGCCTGTCCGCTTCCGGGTGGCCTCCGGAGAAACAAACGGCCGGTGTTTGCTCGCCGCTGGCCGCGCCGGCACGTCCAGTGGGCTACGGCGAACTTGGGCTTGGCGTGTTTGCAAGTATAGATGGAGAGGAAATCCCCTCTGCGCTCGGCGAAATACCAGAAAACACTCCGCAATCGGGGGTAAACATGCGGTGCGCGGGCTGGAAATTTCGAAAAGACAAATCTATGGACAAATGTCCGCTGCATTTTGTTTGAAGGCAGCATGCAATTAGCGAGCATAAGCTGAAACGCGCGGTGTTGGTTTACACATCACTCAACCCGACACTTCACGCCGGGGATGAGCGACTCCTGTTTTGACGGCGTTGCGATGGCCAGCGGCGAAGGCAGCCAACAGATTGCATGCTTCCGCAAAGACTAAGTGGAGTTTAGCGTGCTACTCGCGTCACAAGTCAAAGCAGAGAACAACAATGGACTGATCTCAGCGCCCGTACTGCACTAGTCGGCAAAAGTCCCGGGTGCAAAAATGCACATCGCACCGGCGCTGAGTCATGGTGAATCTCCATATCATTAGCCGCAGCTTTGCACGGACCGCAGCCAAGCCCAAGCGAGTGGGGCTGCAAATCGGCGGTGGGCGTCGCGTTGCAGTTGGATTCCAGATAGAATCCGATAATCGCCTCCCGCGGCGGCGGCGCTCAGCGCACCCGGCCCGTCATCCGGCCGGCGGCAGTCAGCGCCCGTCATCCGGCGGCAGTCAGCGCCCGTCATCCGGCCGGCGACAGATGAACTCGGTTAGCGACACAGCGCTGCGTGGGCTCGATTCCCGCCAAAGGCGTCGTGATGCATGCGCAAAGGGTGGAGACAGGTGCACCCTGCGTTTAAGTATCGACTCGATACGGCGCGTTGAAGCGTCCCAGTACTTTGAGGCAAACACGCATGCGTGAAGAATCATCAGACATTCAAACCACTTGGTTCGGCGGGTTCAATAACACGAAGCGAGCTACTGTTTCGCAAGAACTTAATTCTAATGCTGGTCGAGCACGTAATTAATGTATTGAATTTACCATACAACATTACACAGAGCTTTCAGGACTTATACTAGGCGCCGTTTTTGCATACAGTCCATAAACGTTTGTGTAGAGGCTAGGCTTGCACTAATCTGATGAAATACCACATTAATTTACGGTAAGCACAATCAGCCGGTTCTACGAGCCTTATGAAAACAAAATGGAATAATTATATGCTAATATATCAACCTGTATTACCCTTACAGAAGGTTCATCACATTCGGCAGAAGTTGCATACAATTAAATAACTGAAAAGCAAATGTAAATGAATAAACATTATTATTATTAGTATCGTTATTATAATTATTACTGTCTTTATAATTATTATTATTGCTGTTGTTATTGAA